TTGACCAGGATGGTCTCGATCTCTTGACCTCGTGATCCACCCGCCTCGGCCTCCCAAAGTGCTGGGATTACAGGCTTGAGCCACCGCGCCCGGCTCCTATTTCTTAATTATCTCTGTCTCCTATCTATTTAATAATAGTAATCTCTCTATTTTAAGTGCTGCATCTGCATTTGTTATTTCAAATCAAAAGAGGCTAACTAAAACAAATTGAAAACAATGTTTAAAAATAATGACAATTTATGGCAGCTTGTACGCACTAACAGCCCTTCTAATTTAGGAAAAATCCAACAATAAGTTCACTTAAATGACAGTCTGTTGCTTTCAATAAACACTAAGACTTACATCTACCGTAATATTTTCATATTAAAGTGTTTTTACAGGAAAGTATTTTATTAATGCCACTTGCTTTAATATGACTTAGCTTTTCTTTATCAGTTTTATATCTAAAAAAGAGGTTATCCCTGCAGTGACCTCATATTCACTCTCCATAAAAGATAAAACCCAAAACTAACTTACAAAAAATAAATAAATAAATCCAAATATTGAAGCTGAAACCTAATTTTGTGCCCAATTTTGTCTAATTTTGTCTGTGGAAGATGAAAGTTATCTCATTTAGAATCAGAGAAACATTTGTTATTTAGACCAAAATGGAAGAGAATGGAAAAAGAAAATCAATAGTGTTCTTGGCCCCCTCTGATGTAATGGACAAGTCTTTTAAGATGTCAGGATCCATCTTAACACTTGAGTTAAGTAGGTATTTTTCTTCCATCTGCATCGATTAAGAATATAGTTGGTAGATTAACTAAAAAAATTGGATCACATGAGGAATAATTTTTTAAAGTACCATAAACATTTAAATTTAAAATGTATAAACATTTGTTCATTAACTTTTGATATAGGGCCAAGGCCTTGCCTTGAGTAGGTCTATGATTGAAGTTCCATATCATTTTTCTTGTATAAATATTGCCCATAAAACGCTGTCTACAGTCCCAGTTTTAGTTTTGTTTTCAAGTGAAATGAGAACTTTAAACATTTCTAATGAAATCTAACTGCAGCATTCCTTTTCTTCCAAGACTTAAACAGTTATTTCACTATTACCTAAATTGTCAGCAATTTTGTTTTTTAGCAATTCTGTTTATTGATTCTTTGGAATCAGTGAACTTAAATATCATAGGAGAAGTTCCCTCCACACCCATATTTCATTAGGACATAAAACAATTAATTATCTTATGTGATTACAAGTAGAGCCAGAATTATCAAGTGCAGGAGCAAATGCCATGCACTCCTGGGAAACAGAGTTTTGGTGGTGGGAGAGACTCAACAGGTCATAAGACTAGTCTCCTGGTCATGGTGTTTATTGTGCTAGGTCAGTGTAAAGTTTATTCTCTGTAGGTTTATTGCCAAGTTAAAAACGAGGAAACTGAGGCCAGCACAAGAAAATTAGATGCCAATTTATTCTCCTTCCGGGCGAGGTTCTGCGGTCCCGGGGAGAAGGGCCAGGGAAGTCGCCCTTGACTCCTCTCAGGAGTGGGGTTTTATAGGGAGTGAAGGCATTTGATTGGATTTGAAGAAACAGGATGTGGACGGGGTGAGCTGCTATTGGTAGGTAGGTGGGATTTCCGGTGAGCGGGCTAAGTGCTGAGTGCAGAGGGAATTTCCAAGGGTGGGGTTAGGTGCCGAGTGCAGAGGGGATTTCCAAGGCGGAGCTAGATGATGGGCATATTCTAATAACGTAATTTTCAAGTGGGGAGGGAGATGGGCGTGTCCAAACTCCCCAAGGCAACCAGCCTTACAGTCAGGATTTATTATGTTTATAGAAAGAAGGGAAATTGGCTCACATAGGTGGAAGTCAGTTAACAACACTTCTATTTTACCAATGCAAGTTAACTTTACAGGATGAATTTTTAGAAAAGTGGAAGGGTCTCCCACATCCCCAAAATGTGTTTTTTTATTTTGTCCTTTTTTTTTTTTTTTTTTTTTTTTTTTAACCATACAAGCAGTAGCAGTACCTCAAAATTCTACCATGAGGAAAAAAATAATTTTTGAATTAAATACTCTACTTTTTAGTCTTTCTACAAAGAATGGAGAGAGAAAAAAACTTAAGCAAACTGGGGCAAATCAGTTT